CCCGGTAAATGTTGATAAATTTCAAATAGCGCCTATGGCCGTACAATGGTAGCTGCGACCATGAAAATCTCAGAATATGTTGGTGGGATATATAATTTCCAAACGGGAATAGCTAATCGGTCGATTTTAGTCAAGAAGAATTGTTTCATAGCTAAATTAATATCTTGACCTTGAGAGGGAGCTATACAACATAAAGAGTTCATTATTTATAATTGCATAACTTTAGACTCGATTTCAACCGCGACAACGATCAATGTATGTTGTAGGACCGCATATGCTTCCAATATGTTAATTTGAACCAAATTCATGACCCCATACCAAAACTTTGTAATACCTTTAAAGGAGAGAAACATATAAAAAATGGCCTGAAAAAGTTAACTATAATAACAAGATTAATAATGATAATAATAATACTAATAAAAGTGATACTACTAATAATGACAATAACAACAACAATAATATTCAGGGTTTTCATAGCGCTTAATACATCAACGATGTCTCTAACCGGGTTACAAATACAATTTTTGTAGGCTGAATTATTACCCCGGTCATCGGATTCAGGCATCCTACCGGGTACACATTAATAACCTAGGTGCATGGAGAGTGGAACATACGAATTATTGTCTTGCTAAAAGAAACACCAATGAGAGTCAAGTGAATGAACCCTTATAAAACGACATCTCCTTTAATATATTCTATAACAACATTACCGCGGGACGCCCTAAAACAAAAATGGAAGATTAAACAAATGATCGCGGGGGAGGGAGGAGGCCACAGTGCGTGATACTTGACCTCGGTTATGTCGGTTTATCTTAATTGGTTATGAATAACTTAATTGAAAAAATGGTCTCACGAGACAAATTAATCATTCTCATCACATCCAGTTTCATTTTTGACAAGTAAGATAATTAAAAACAGTTTGGTTATAGACCCGCAGAAACTATAGGCATAGACGATTGAACATGGGTGTGTCAACGTGGGGTTCTCATAATTACGTGATTTTCAACATGAGATTCTCAATAATTACGCCCCAATCAAAGCACTTACCAATCTCTGGATTTAGACTGGTCGTCTTGAGAAATGTTGCGGATCAAATTTTATTGTAGAATCACTTTACTACCACTGTGTACGAATTGTATTTCTTATGTAGCAATTTAAAAAATGACATCGTAACAAATCGCTGTTGTGTATGCTTAAATGATCGTTTTTTAAAGTAATTAGGCCTACATCAAATTGAAATGAAAATTCCTTAAAATGTATCCCCTCTCCCTCTCTCTCTCCCTCGCTCTCTCCATTTAGGCTATGTCTCAAGAAAAAAATTATACCTGTCGTTAACCCATCATTTTTTTCCCTAAGAAAAATAAATCAATATATTTTAATCCATAACAACCTCATTGCAAGTTGCCAGTGTAAAGATATCTAAAATTTGCATATGGTGCAATCGAGCTCCCTTTCTTCCTCCCCCCCCCCCCCATTCTCTCTCTTTCTCTGTATATCTGTCTATCTGTCTCTCTCTATATATATCTCCCCCTCTCTCTCTCCCTCTCTCTCTCTCCCTCTCCTACTCTCAGTTTTTTCTTCATTCTTGTACCAATCCTTGTCTCATTAAACCAATATGCATTTACTCCTTGACAAACGTATTGCAAATGCATATTGCATTTATCCCGCTCTCTCTTTCTCTTTCTCTCTCTCTCCGTTTCATTCTCTCTCTCTCTCTCTCTTTCTCTTTCATTCTCTCTCTATATGTATCTCTCTCTTTCTCTCTCTCCGTCCCTCTCTCCCTGGCAATCGAACCGTAAGTGGGCTTTTAATATACCACTTAAACAGACAGGCCGTAGAGCTCCATATTGGAAATGAGACAAGACTACTAATTATATCGATATTACAAAGCCTTCGACGGGGTTGAACTAATGGATGTTAGGAACAGACTGACAAACATACATCTCCTGATAATCTAAAGGGAGTAGGATAAACTTGTGGTATTACGAAGGAGCTGATTGTGTGTGTGAAATTAAAGTACATGGTCTTAACTTTCTTCGCCGGAAATTGGATGGGCTAAAAAAAACAGGGAAGGTATTGGCAAATAGGAAGGGGTGATATTACCAGGCAACTGGAAGTTGTGTATATCAATCAAACTGGCGTGGCATTGGAAAATATGAAATGAAGAATAGAGAACATTTATTCTTTTGCATGAAGTTTGTTTGCCTTGTCTGGAGCCAATATTTCCTCTGTCGATAATTCTAAATCATATTTCTTTCATTTGTATTTCAAGATCGATCTCGAGATAATATTTTCTTAATCAGCTTCGTATAGGTCAGTGATTAAATCACACCTCATCGAGATTCCAATATCTCATGTTTACGGAAGACCATCGTAAGAAAAAAAGGGAATAGAGTATTTCAGATTATTAATTCATGCTTTATTAGAATCTTATTCACAAAATAAAATTTCTGTACACACAAAAGAAAGGGTAATTTTGACACAATTCTTTCAATGATATACATATAACACTTTCATTAATATTCACTTAAAATACATTAAAAGATACATAACATTTTAATCAATTCAGCAAGGAATATGACAATATGTCGAATAATTTCAATTGCAGCTATCTACATTACAAGTCAATACACATCAAATATAGATTCAAATATTTCAAATTCTATGATGATAAATCAGAAATGCAGCTCATTCTTGTGCGCTACATTTTCGTCATCCTAAGAAAGAGAGGTTGACAACATGGTTGAAGAAACGTTAACCCATAGAGTCGGTGACAATATCGCAAAAGACTACTTACACTAAACAGGATAAACAGATAAAAGAGAATTATATTACCCCTTAAATCACTTGATACTTCACAATGTTATATCCTATAACATATCTTTCGCCGGATAACATCTCTTTTTTTTCCAAAGAAAAAAATATATCATAATTTTCTTGAAAACAATGCAATTTGTACAGTGCAGATAATTGGTGATGTTACAAGCTATTGTTTTACTATCAAACCTTGTTGTCTCTGAGACTATGTATCAAGGGTGTTTGAGACGAAACGATAAAAACAACATCTAGTGAAATCATTTCTAAATAAATGATTTTGTATGAATTTTGGCCATTATTCCTCCAATTTTTTTAGCCGAAACGCATTTAGAAAACAAACAAAAAATACAAGGGAGGTAAATTTCTATTTCAAAACAGCAAGCTTGTATCTTTTATTGAAAGCCTCCCGTTTCTCTAAGCATCGGAAAGATTATTCACAATTCAAACACTATAATATTATCTAGTCAATTACATAACTAGTACCTTATGTTCATTTTTATCATTAACTTGTAAACTTCGTCTTGAGATTCAAATATATTGTATAACAATGAAAATATTCCATATATAAAGTTATAAATAAATCAAATAAAATTGCATGCAAATACATGTAAGTCCTTTCATTCAATTAAATTGCCACCAGAAGGAACATTGAATGATGTTAAAGTAATTTAGATCTTAAATATCGCGTACGTATTAGTTCCCCGTCTGACTTAATAATCTAATCTGATCAAAATAATGATTCTAATTTGATGGGAAAAGGTAGCAGTGATTTGTTACGTAATTCAACATCACCTTATTTTTCTCAAGTCTGGCAGGATGCTTAATTGATAAATCTACCTCATGAAGCTTATGACGACCACTTTTTTAAATATAAATTCACTTGATCCTAGGCAGCACTGGCAGCACAGCTAAAGCCGGGGTAATAATCTCCAAGTTTGGAAGCGCTTAGTGATTCTAATAAGCGCTAAATAAAAACTGAGTATTATTATTATTATTACATGTTTACATATCATAAACCCTAGATGATATAAAATAATGTTAAAATGAATAAATATCATATCAAATTAAATTAAATCAAAATACAGGACAAAATATATCATTTATTTAATAGAAATGAATCATTTTTTTAATATTGCACGTTCTACTCCATATATGGCTCAATAATTACTCATAGAATTTAACATAACTTATGGTTTTCCATTCATAAATTTATTAAATATAATATTTTGTTTAGAATGACACTACGGCCTTCATCTCAATATATATAGCGTGTCTGAATGGGTTGATATTGACGCGTAGGCACCGACAGTCTTAAGGCTCGTTTCATTAGCAAGCATTATTTGAAACAATTCTATATCTTACCAGTACAAAATGAAACTGTAAGAACAAGACTGGTCAAATCCTACACGGATGCTCATATCCTGAGGGCACGGTATTTGTTGTTTCATTCATTTCATACAAATTCTTAACACTATTCTTTTGAAAATGACCTTGACTTCAAACGTGTACAGAGCGCAAATTTTCGAGAGACCCCTGCACAAGCCAGCTGCTAAATGCAGTTGTGTGAAAGTGGGGACGATTATCACTTCCGAACTTTCAGTTTAACTTTGGAAGCTTCTTGCACTTATTGGTCAGACGTGACTGAAATAGATGTCACCCTCGGATCAATAACATGTTGTCAATTTGTTGGTGGGAGATTGGGGCGCGGTTCTAGAAAAATAATAGGGAGGGGGCTTGGGGGAGCCTGTAGGGTTTTACTTAGGGTTTTGCTCTCATTTGTACATACGCCTTGCTTAAATCCATGTATGAATGAAAAATGTTTTTACTTTTTGTATTTGGACGGGGGGGGGGGGCTTGAACCCCAAACCCACTTAAGAACTGCTACTGGGGAAGATTATTATTCCGACCATCATATACAAATCATGTGCGTCATTTTTAAAATGAAGCGTTGGATCACAACAAGTTTGCCAGAAATAACAAATGTGAAACAAGACTTGTCCACATGTAGGGGCACTCCAGATCACCCGCCTAATTCTGAGCGACATAAAAGTCAATGAACAAATACATAAGATAGCAAATACACATATTTATATATCGTTTGGATACAGAAAATTAATTGAACAGCACAAAACACAGTGCAAATCAAAAATAATGTTTCGTTGAAAGACAAAAAAAAAATCAATAAAAGCGCATTGATAGGTTTGAATACCTGTCAGTTCTGATTCAAAAACAAATTGTTATTGAATATATAAGAAGTGCAAACATGTCTTCTTCCCTGTCTTCATGAAATCTTTAGTATATTATGTTGATTCTTCTTGGAATTCTTAATATAGGAACTCAAAACAAACCACTCGACGTGTACATTAACTAATGAGACATTTACATGAGATCAACTCTCATTTATCATATCTTTAAGTATTCTTAAATCATAAATCTATCCACCTTCTTTTTTATGAGGTCAATCAGTGATATTTTGTCAAAAATCTACACTTCAGGTTATTTTGTTTACGGCAAAAGTTTCTCAAATCAAGTAAATCTTAAATGATTTGTGAGAGCCATATGATGATTTTCTCGCTCATCGACTTTTAGAGTTGTTTCTCTCTCCCGGGAAAATAATGATGAAGGCCCTAGTTCACGATACTTCTCATTAAGTATTTCAAAGTTTTATCTCTATTCCAGTAGTAAGGAACATGCTATGAGTGGGTAAATACAAATATATCACACACATGTTCCGAAGAATACATTCAGAAAATACTTCTTTTCAGCCTGCAATCCCTGTATTCCATATCGCATGGAAACTAGAGAATAAAACAATAAAGCTTGAAGACAGTCCAGGAAAATTGATAAGAAATATGATAAGAGTGCAGCTTTTCAATCGATATTTCCTCAAACATGATCATCTGAAGTTCATCCTTTCTATTAAAAGAAGGATTTCGTCGGTGAAGGATGGGGTAGATGGAGTCACGACCCCTCGTCAACGGTGGAATATCTTCAGATGCAGAAGCTCTTCCTCGTAGTACGAGAGTAGAAACATGATGCCCCAGCCGGACAATAAACCAATGTTCTGACATATGAAAATTAAGAGCTTGGATCTCTTCTCCGATTTCTCGTTGAGCGCCATCTGTGGATAACATTTCACAAACATCAGACAAGGTCACGCCATGTGTAAGAATTATGTTTCAACAATTTACGATTCTAATACTACATTGGTATGAATTAAAAATTATAGACTGATTTAGAATGCAGATGAAAATATATAATGACATTTTATGATATGAAATATAAACTTCTGAACTTGTTTTTCTAATATAATAATGTCGATCAAAAAATTTAGAGTTTGCACTGACTCACATATTTATTAAAGAATTATAGGAAATAATTTAGTTGATTTGATAATGTTCTTTTAAATTTTGTTAACGACTATTTTTCAATAAGTTTGAGATCAAGTTATAATTGTAAATTTTTTAATTGATTTACATCTGCTTTGAGATCGTTCGTTTTCTGTCACAGAGACATTTTTTATATGTTTCTTCATGTATAGGCATATGCCTTGTTATTTTCCTCTTCTGATGTAAAATGATATATTTATAGCTATTTATTTGATTCCTTTAGTAAACTTTGATTTTAAAAAAAGGTAAACATCCTTTGCGTCTCACCACAGTCTAACATAAATTAGACAAAATTTGCCCCATCCATTAGATTGACTTGGTAATATTGACCACATATTTTAGGTACAATTCAGTCGATATTGGGTAAAATTTTACCCAGCTTTTGTTTAGAATGCATTCTTACCTCCTGTAGCCAGCTATGTCTATTACTCATTGCAGGCGATCTCTTCAACGAATGCGATGATGAACCATGAGAGTGACCATGACTGCTATCATCTTTCCGTAACATTCCACCAAACTACGAAAGAAATCAAACAAACAAAATAAATGTAAATACAACCCATTGATAGTTTAAAGGGAAAGAAGGGAATGTATTGTAGAGTGATCTTTTGCAGCAAACAGAAACCTCACATCGGCTGCCAACGCGGTCGTGGCTACAATAATTGTATAAGGACCATTCACACTCCCAGACAATGATCCCGGACGTCTACTTATGAAAACTACCCCGGACTAATATTGCCGGGCACAATACAGTCATAAAAGTACCCTTAACGACGACTCCCCATTAAAAATTACCCAAATAACCCTCAGATATCAACCTATGGGGTAACGATATTAGGGAGTAGTTGTCCTAGGGATAAATTGTCCGGGGCTAGTTGTTCAGAGATAGTTGTCCAGAGATAGTTGTCCTAAAATGGGTTTCAATAACTCTTGCTTCGATGCACGTACATTTCTTTTCATTGCTCAATGTACTCATCTCGTTCACGCATTATAGATTTGCAAAAGTCGTGATATAATAGGAAGCCTTGAAATAGATTTTTTTTCAAAAAGATAAAAATAAACTCGGCCAAAAGGTCAGCCTTTCTCTAGCAGCTGAAGAAGTATGAGAATGACTAAATTTGGCATCTCTAAATTGACCAATAATGCACGGTTGACTATCCACAGTTCGTGATACTATTTTTACCCTCGACTGCAAAAATAGCGAACAGGAGAAGCCTTTCAACCCGTCAGTAGCCGTTTTCATTGATAAGGATGTTGTTTTGTGTTTTGTGTTTGTATAGGGAACTGATGGAAAGGTATGTTGGTTTGTATTCAAGCATTTATTTCTATTTTTATTCATTTGTTGTTTGCGTATTGCAAAATATTTCACAATATGACATTTCATACTACAACACTCGGCTTTAACAGGTTAGTTTTCTGGTATGGAAAACAATGCCAACCTTCCGTTGATATTTTCCTGACAGATCACAGTTTATAGTAACAAATGCAATTACAAATATAGCAAGAAAATACCAAATTTATGGAACCACTGCATCACAGAATAATCATCTCACATTTATTATTCAAACCAATGGAGTATTCGTTGTAATTTGTTAATCATATGCCTCTTTTGAACGCAAAATCTGAGCTGTAGTATGAAATATCGTGATATTTGTCACGCAGATATAATTATATGTATATCTTTACACTAATCACATTTACATGTTTATCTCATTTACAAAAGGAAGCAGCAAATTGTTTCAGAAAGCATTAAATTAGAACTGCCCAACACCTGTAACGTGTAAAGAATATTTTTCTAAAGACTAGTAAGAATACATTATATATGATATGCTGAAAATGAGTGGATCGAGAAAAGGTGAATGCATTGTAATAGTCTGGCGTAATGCCTAATCGAAAACTGCATAGTAAAAACCATAGGGAAAAGGAGCTATGGTAAGGGGTATACAGAGAAAGTCGAGTTCTTATCAAAAATTCAAATCAAAGTCACAAGAAAGATTAATCAAAGATAGTAAATACAAAAATTAGATAATTCCAAGGAGGAAATTGTCAATATAAGGAGAAACAGACGGTAGTGAAATTTTACTTTAAAATAATTACTGCAGTAAAAATAAAATCTTACCAAATCAACCATTGAAATATAGAGGAAGAATCCAGCAGTGATTGCAAAAAGCCACTGTTGCGCTCCCTCTCGCGTTCCAATAATTATACCAAGATATAAACCTATGAAGGCAGAACAACCACTCGCGAAGTTCCAGAATACAGCTCGTCCATAACTCATTCCATTCTCGATGAGAACAGCAAAGTCACCTTTAAATCAATAAGAAGTAAAAAAGATGGAGAAAAAAAATATGGATGGTCAACTTCTTTGTACTTGTGCTATGGTAAACTATTCGTAATTGCTTCTCCAGTTATGATGATAACTCTAAAATAAGTAATGTCAACGCAATTTCCTTTACTACACATGACTGCTTCTATTTAAAACTGTCAATTAATTATCAAATAAATTAACAATCATTAATATAAATTTACAAATTTAAAAAATAATAACAAAAAAGCCTAGTCGTAAAAGGCTTTTAAAAGGAAAGAGTCAGTGAGGTACACCAGGATGTAAACTGCATCCCGAACAACTTTTTTTTCCTTATACATGTCCATTAAGTATACTTATCAAACTTCAGCAATCAATTAATTAATATCGATGACCACATCATACCTACCTAGCTCATGAGGTATTTCATGGCATAATACAGCGATACTCGTCGATACTCCTACAAATATATTGGATGTGAAAGCAGCTCCTATTACTAATCCATCAAGTGCATTGTGTAAGGAATCCCCTATCAGCACCATGATCGACACAGGCGCCATTCCTAACGGAGAAAAACAAAATCAACAGCTGTTACCCTGTCTATCTTTGACTAAGGATACGGTCCATAAGTTTTAGAGGGAAACACTTTTCAAGGGTCACAAAAATATGGTCTCTATAGACACGTTGTATTTAACGCAGTTTCGATTATTTTTGTTTAGCAATAACAACTTTACCATACATTTTTCTACATTACATGTTTTATACATATATATTAGGATTTTTCAAACGCCATGTTAAAGATACGATGTTATTGATTGCATCTGGTTCAAAGTACCAAATACTCTGAAACATTCGAATCTTGATAACGTGATTACGAAAGTGATCCTTACAAGATATTTTCTGTTGAACATTACAATGGCTTCGCTAATAATGATAACATACAAAGCTGTTATTAAAAACAGAAGCCTCGATTCCAAGGGAAGTATTTAACAAAAAGAAAACGTGTCTATCCATCTTCTCAGTTCTGTTCTACGAATTTGCATGATATCTGCAAATAACAATAATTTAAAAACAGAACATTGCATCACCCCCAAAGACTCACTGAAAGTACGTTTTCTGTTACATTTCTGTCTTTCTTTCTTTCTTAAAATCAATATTATATTTTATCTGCTGGCGTTTTGTCATCAAAATATGAAACAATTCTTTAAATATTTCTTAATAATTATTGATCAAAATATGCCTTTGATTAGTCAAGCAGATGTTGATTATGATATAACAAAATGATGTTTTACCTCTCATGAGAAATGATCTTTTTTCACCATCCTTTTGCTCCTGAACGAGACTCTCAAAACATCGATCTTCCACGTCGTTATTGCCGTTCATATTTACCGACAGAGGCTATGGAGTTAAACACGATGCATCATTAATATCATTCGTCTAATAGAATGGTCACGTGTCATGTAAGACATGGTGTTCACGTGCAATTTTATGCAAACTAGGCGTGGTCGGTTGAGAAATGGGGGTCACATGCAATCGTATACAACAATATTTGTTGTATTTAAAACAAAACTTTGGTTGAGAGATATTGATGTGGTTGAATTATTTGATTTTAAGTTGAATTTTCGACGGGTCGTCCGATATGAATTAGCTATGGGGTTGCAAGTGTCATACTTGAGTCCTTTTACATTCTTGACGATGTTCTGTAAGGCTTAGCAATCATACACATTCTTACCAATAATTGATACTAAGTTTTAACGTTTAGATTGATTTTGTGGTTAGAGTGATTTTCGTACACGTTCATAAACGTGGACTCTGGCAACTAAAAATCAGCATAGACAATTATTGTTTGAAAAAAAAAAAAATCAAACAATTAAAACGAGATATAAAACGTATGAATAGAAGAATTCATACAATATAATGTCGGCTATAGTTTCACTAACGATGCCAAATTTCATAATGTTGGCAACATTTTTGCAAAAGGAATATACTACGTCATTTAAGTCTTTTAGACAATTAAGATCAAATGTTGACAAATGTTTGTATAAATTAAATGGAATGTCAGTAAGACGACTGCCAAATGAATTTGAAATAATTGTCCGAAGCTAGTTGTTGATTTGAGTAAATAAATGTAGCAGTATAGGTCAAATCCATGGCCTTTGGTTATTTAATTTCCCACATGTTACCTAGTATGGCGAAGTTCTGCACATACATTGGCTTAAAATTGATAATTTCACTTCATATTTTGGTCTCATTTAAGTTCTTAGAAATGAACTTAATATACAGTTATCAGGGACATAATACTGACTAAAATCAATCGTTAAAGGCTATTGTGTCTCCAATCTTCTTCTAATTAATCGTATCTTTCCATGCATTGCATCTATCTGTAACATAACAAATCATTCTTATTAAGGTTTCAATTTATTGTAAATTTGCTATCGATTGAAGGAGATACGAAAAATGTTCGGGAGATACAATCAAACGTGACTGTTTATGTTGCAGGGTCCTGATGAACTAAAATCTTAGATGCCGTCGGTATTACGTATAGGAAAAACCAAGGAGATTTCCTTGTAAAAATAAGCTTGGACCTGCCCTCCTCTAAATATTTCTTTCACATATTGAATTTTGAGAGTTTACCGTTAAAGTACTTGGTTCTGGAAGGTTGGGTAAACCATTGTCTACATCAGTCAGCCAAACCTGTTCCGCTTGCTGATTGAATACTGATGTCTTCTCATCACAATCCTAAACAAACATTGAGGAGAAAGACAATTATGAATTGAGATACGATTGTAAAGATTATAAAAAAAAGTCTTTAAGAATCAATAGTACACGCATGATGAGAGGCACCCCTCTTCCTCCATTGGCAAGATACAATTCTATTGAGTATGTTTGTCTTCATATGAAATAGATCTGTATATATTTTATTTTCGTATGTTCTAGTACTCCTGTTATTTTGTTAATTATGCAGAAGTCTTTCTTTTCTTTTTTTGGCGCAAGTACGCATTTGATTTCAAGTGGATTTCGAGCCTTATAAATCTCATAAATTATCAACTAAATAAATTGCTTATTATGGACATACATCATTTTCAACATTAACCACGTCAACAGATCGAACACAATGATATTTCTAGCCTACTGACAAGAATACGTTTGGATAAAATGAAAACTATTCCTGCCATGAATTCACTCCTATAGTGCTTTGCTCCGTTACATTTCATCCCATAGACAGACCGAGGGCACCCTACTGTATATGGCGGGCTAAACGTGCCACATTCAGGACAGCTATACAACTATACATCCATCAAATGGATGTAAAGTTTAGGCCAATCAGAACGCAGGAAACTACGGCTATGCATCCATCGAAAGCATGTATAGTTTCTAGCGTGCGGGTATGGCATGCGAAGTGCCATAACGATACGACTATACAACTATACGACTATACAGCAATCGAATGAACGTATAGTTCAGCGAAGTGTAGTACAATGCCCCCCTCAAAACCCCTGATCAGGGGTCTTAACTCTGCACTATATATCAACAGAAAAGCCCCTGACCAGAGGTTTCACTCTGCACATGTAGTAGTTTCTCTCTGCGCAGAGTTGCGCAGTAGTTTCTTTCTGAGCAGCAGAGAAACCCCTGCTCAGATGTTTTGCTACTGCACGTGCAGTATAGTCGCCTGGCTGGTAGGAGGGTGTTAGCTCGAATTTCAGGTTAAAAATGAAGGGCGTTATAGCACTAAATCGCCTCGAACTTTTATGAAACTGACTTATTTCCGAGGAAAAAAGGTGTGGCCGTGTTCTATTATAAAATTTCTATTAGTCTGTTAAGTTTTAACCCAATTTTCGGGAAGGAAAGCAGTTTAAATATAAAACATATCTTTAAATGCGAATGATTCGAAAAGTATTTTTCGAGTCGTTCGCGCTTATAGGCCATTTTCGTAATGTAACCAAATTTAATGCGTAAGTCTTTGTGAAGTGCCTCAATACAAATTATTTCATTCACCTGATAAGAATAATAGTATTTCAATAGTCAGAATGCAAGCTGCAAATATTAAGTGTTGCTAGGTAGGTCAAGCCATCATGTTTGTCCAAACTGGCAACAAAGACTTACGCATTAAATGTAGTTACATTACGAAAATGGCCTATTACGCCCTTTTGCCAGCCGGCCGACTCTCTACGCAAGCAGAGAAACCGCTGATCAGATGTTTTGCTACTGCGCGTGCAGTAGTTCTTTCGGATGAGACAGTCCAGCTGCTTGAAGGGGACATATTACGCCAGGTAGAATCAACTTTTGTGTACCTTTGTTTATATAACAATGCTAGATCCCGAGCTTCTTACTGAGAGTATTTCCTTTTTCTTCTCGTTGTTACACACATGCAATACAATACGAAATACATTACAATACTAACTTCTACCAATCGCGAACATCTTCTTGTCTCCGCGTCTTCGCTGGTCTTTCTGCTAAACAAGGCATTCATCATCGACTCGAAGAGGAAGAAGAAATAAATAGCTCCAATAACCGTCAACATCTTGAACATAACATCCATACTGTCGATCTCGACAAAGGTCAAGCTGTGAGAGTCGCTACCATCTGGTTTATGATGTCCATGACCGTCATCGCTATCGCCACCGTGTTTGTGAAGACCAAGGGCCTGGTGAACATTGACACGAGAAACAACATTAAGAAACTCAAAAAGAACTTAATCTTATTTGAATACTGGGGAGGGATACGTTGTATTTCTCCGATATTAGGGACTTTTAGATGTACACGTCACACGTATACTATGTCGATGTGCAAATCTAAAAGTCCCTTATATGATCAATGTAAAACGCAAGTCTGGATTTAGGAAACTATGTTTGTAAACGATTTAAATGGATATTTTGAAAAGTACTTTACAATCGTGTTAGATTGTCAATAAAAAGATGAAAGATCATTGAAGAATTATTGAATTGATAATTATAGTCTGTCAACAAATATTATATTCGAAAATCTAGTTTGGGTTATACATTACTTGACACACACAAATCGTTAAAATATAGTTACGATGTTATCAACATTGACAAAATCTTCAAGTCCGATTTCATTTGAATTTTACATCCATAACCATCCATAGTTGCTATAATGCCATTCAAGTTGTAAGTGTAGAAGGTTGGATACATACAAGGGAATGGCATGCACCATATTAAGTTCCCAAACAATGTGCAATAACTCAAATTACAGTTAACCACTAAATTATTCATTCCCCTTGTAAATTTGATGTCTTTTATGTGTTTTTCGTAACTCAGAATGAAAGATGGACTGGTTGAATTAGGGCCCTCGTTAAATACTTTTTGATGTAGCTTTAATATGTCATATTATCAAGAAATATAAATATCGAGACAAATCTATTTTTCACATCCTTAGAAAACTACAAAACTTGGTAAGGGTATGATTACTTTAGCTGTTAACTGTATGTCTCATCAGGTCATTTAGAAGTAGGTGATCGGCTGGCTGATAGAGAGGAAACGAAAAAGTGGAATGATGAACATCCACCCAACATTCACGGATGCGGACTAATACACTTTGAGTGAACGCAAGAAGGAAGGATAATTACAGAAAGAGAGAAATGGCAAAGAAATGAAGAAAGAAAACGCGAAAAGAGGAAGGGAGAGGGGGAAATGAATCTTCACTTTACGAGCTCACTAACTGGATACAGAGACCCAATCATAACTTCTCTAAAATATGTACTGTATCTAAAGTAAACGCCACTGCACAGTTCACGGCCGGACTATGACTAGATTTTTGAAAGAAAATTGAAAGAGCATTCGATAGTTACTTGACGGGCCATGACCGGTAGCCGACTTTACCTTTGCTCCTACTGGAGGTCCGGGCTTGAAATATAAATTTCGATAGTGATATTTCTCATGAGCTCAGTCAAATCATCTAAGGTATAAAACCTTTATGAAATTCCATATCTAATCCTACTGTAATTCTTTTACAAATCCATAGCCATAGTCCTAGTTAGTCGTGAGTTGTGCGGTGGAAGTTATCTTATTTTTCAAGTTTACCTCTGGAATAAGATGCATGACTGCATCTCCTGACAAAGTACTGATGGAGAGAGCCACAAAGGCATGGATGACGTATTGTTGCACCTTGTCACTAAGACAAGGTAGAATAAGAACAGCTAGTATTGATACAGCCGTGATGATGAACACAGAGAGCGTTCCATAACCATAAACTGCAACAATAAAACAAGAAGGGATAAAAACGGTAAGTTCGCGAGGACAGGTAGTGTTTGATAACAATAAACTAAACAATTGATAGGAAAAAACGAGGAGGTAAGTGAGCGCAGCCACTATCAGATTTTCTAAAATTCATAAAAGCATAGGAATATTCGACGAATTGCCACAACTATTTCCATCTCTTTTATCTTTTGTTTTTATCATTGCTTAGCATTTTCCAGTTTGAAAATGAAAGCTTCACAAATTTGTACATTGTAAATCAAATACAGGCGGTAAGTGAACAATATATTCGACTCCTGACCATTCACCGAGTTCGGTAGTAGGGTGGGGTTCAGTCACGTGGTATTATGAGAAAGTGCCACATCTAACTCTACCCTTCAACTATATCAGGGGATGGGTTATGACGTTGAAATTGACTTCAGTTAACCTTTTCCTTTCACTATGAGGTAACAATTTTGTTTAAAATGACGGCAGCGCTCTCTTCCCTTGGGTTGGGTACGAACGTCTCTCTGGGAATTCAACGTTTGCTTGCTCATCTACACTCTCTTGCGTAAACAGAGTTTAGGATTGGCCATACCTCGTCACATTTAATAATCAATTGAAATAGGGGCGTATCCCGTGTCTTTCCAGCGAGGGGGTAATGGGGTCTCGCAGTGGCGGATCCAGGGGGGGGGGCCCGGGGGCCCGGGCCCCCCCCCCCCTTGAGAAAAAAATCATGTAAAATCACGTGATTTTTACCTTTTTTGGGGGTTGAGCCCCCCCCCCTGGCGCTCAAGGGGGGGGGGGTGCAAATTGAAATTTTTTTGAGGATCAAAAAAAAAATAAGCTCACTACCCCCCCCCCCCCCCCCCCCCCCCCCCCCCCCCCCCCCCCCACTGAGCGACTTTTCGGCCTGCGCGATTTTCAAATTTTCGGGAGCAAAAAAAAAAAAAAGTTGGGCCCCCTCCCCTAAGAAATCCTGGATCCGCGCCTGGGGTCTCGGGAAGCACAGGAACATATTAGATGTATGTAATGTAAGGGAACAAGGCAACAGAGCGACGGGAGTGTGTGGGAGGGGTAGCATTTCCTTTGTACACGATGCCTAATTGCCCCACTCCAAATCTCGGTGTATATATATATATATATATATATCTCTCTTCGTCAATCTTGTTGGGGCATGTGCCTGTCGTGCATCTCCGCATACACCAGAAATATGTCATATTTATATTAGCTAATTTAAATGGGTTCGAATAGCAATAGTTAAAGTACAACAATTCATAATCGAATATAGAAAGGGATTTCATGGAGTTATTAACAGCCTCCCAAATTGAATTGCCCCCCCCCCCCCGTCTGCAGGCACAATGTCGTAGTCCATATACGAAGGAAAGCATTTTCACCTACAAACTACACCCCACCTCCCCCCCCCCGACCCCCCAACCCCCCCCCCCCCCACCCTCCTCCTTCTCCTCCTCCCCTCCAAGAGTTGAACTTCACCTTCCGCAGTAGACAAGGGCCTGTTGGGACGTACATCATCAGCATGTCTGTCAGGGTTACAGGCATCTGTGATGATCTGATGTAAGATGGCCGGACAGAGTTCGTTGAACTGTCTCTCTGAGATCCCCAAGGCCTCGTTGATTCCGAATATATCCAAGAGTTGATCACCAGAATAGCACTGAATAGGAGATATGAATGATAATTATTGTATGATAAGTGTATGATAAGTGTATCGCTTCTATGAGAGGGGAGACACGTGTATGAAATATTGCTTCCATATGGGGCAGTTAGGGGTGAGGGTAGCATATTTTACAGCGTTACCTAAATGTTTGTACTGTTTATCGCCGACATGAAGGAGAGTTTACTTTTTTATAAATTTAGCTCGTGTAGAAACATATAATTCGACGAAACATATTGCTCATGATATAAAGTTTTTCCCTGTGGCAACGCGGTCATTGCGTCTGATATCGATAGCATATCATGATTGATGTGTAGAATATGTTTCAAAAGAGCTCCTTTTAAATTTTGATGATAAATCGAAATCGTTGTAAACAAAATTAAAAAGCACGTCAGCTCCACCATAGCTCAAGAAATGGCAAATGAATGACAATGTGAGATGATTCCAACTTCTTAACTATCCTACTTTTCTCATAATTTGCCTGATATTACTTATTAAAACGATAAATATTTTTCTCCCATTTGCCTACTTCCATGCAAGTCAAGTTTCTATGAATTTCTACATTTCACTTTGATAAATGGAATGAATATTTGTAGATCAAGATATAAAATGCATAACCAGAATATTGTAGAAGATTGATTAATTCAAATTGTCTCCTTGGCTGTCCTTCCCTCCTCTTTCGCCATTCATCTCTGTCTTTCACCCTTGTCATAATGTGTAATGCTGCATCGATTGTTTGTTTAAAACTGCATTGAGAATAGTCTCTTACCCTCGACATCTTAAGCATACTAATGCTGCATCAATAATTGTTTATTCAACTGAATTACAAATAAAGTTGAGGCCCGAAGATTATGATAGATAAAATCTGGGATTACTGTATCCTTCGAGATTTGCTCTGAGACAATACAGAAGTCGCTACAAAAAATGACAGCCGGTTTGATTTGTTGATTTAACTCAATCCACGGCATTCATGGATACGACAAGTCGGAACCGTTCAGGCGCTGTGGATAAAACATCTTATCTCAAATTATACTTAATGAATTGTGATCCTATAAATGAGCAGTTTATTCATGAATACTGATAATTTTTCATTTCATGTAGATTCATGAACGTAGTTTAAGTATCAAAAGAAGGACAGAAAAACCTCTTAACGCTGAAAGACTATCGGCAGTCGCACAAGCAAAATATGGGATGCAAAAAAGGAAGAAGGAGAAGAAACAGAAGAAGACAAAGGAGAAGGAGGAGCAGAAGAAGAATTAGATAAATGAACCAAACAAAAACAAAAGGTAAGGAAGAAGGGAATAGTAAGAGAAAAGGGAGAAAAGAAAACGCAAATGAGGTATTGACATAGTTAATGGGGAAGAGAAAAGTAACATTATAGTGCGCCATCCTATAGTCCAAACTTTAAGAGCTACACAACTGAAAAAGTAGTAAAACAGCAAATTTTATTTTGAATTGAGCCTGAATTTCATTCTTTAAAATCTAAATTGTTGGAATGAAGGACAACAACGCAAACTGAATCTGAAATTATTACGAGAAGTATCATATCCAAAAACATGGCGCGTCGTGCAGACTAACGCGTATGGGTGTAGGCAACTCCAACCCTCCGAGCCTCTTAAACTCCGAGCCGTGAGTCACATGCTAGGTCAGGTGACCTCATGAGTGGACAGGAACAAACCTCTTCATGACACCCTCCCAAAATAGCACACCATTCATCGCTTAATAACGCAAGACAAAATGGTTCAAATTGGGGTCTTTCCCTTGATGGGCTTACAGATGGAGAACGAGAAGGGCAACGAAGAGAAAGGTAGAAAAGGCTTTTTCAAAATCCCATATCTCATAAAATATCTCAAAGTATGAAAATGTCATATTTTACAATGGTATTTTAACATTTCTGAACAAATTCTTTCGAAGAACAACACTAAACCAAATAGCTATTACATGATAAATCTCAATTATTAGGCAAAAACCAAAATCAAATATCTGATGAATCGACTTATAACTTTTGAATAAAGCGCTTATCTATCACTTATCACCTTTTCCCCCTAAACACCCCCCCCCCTTTTTTTTTTCTTCTTCTTTCTTCTCCTCCTTCTCGCACGCCTGGCATGTTCACGGTGTTTGGAATTCTACGTATCTCGCAGAGAGATTATTTCTGAGCTGAACGATCCTATCAACTGTTCACCTACTTACTAGAAGATCTTACAAAGCAGGCACACTGGTGCGCGGTCATTATCATGATCTTGAGGAGGAAGGAGACCTAAGGATCGAGTGACTCATGCATCTCAGCTGTCTACTCTACTTAAACCGAACGAACGGAAACATGAAACGAACATCCGTCCTCTTTAATAAACCAAGGGGCATCCATGATGGTTTAAAGGGTTGGATAGGTGGGGGTTATAACTTGACCTGCAAAAGAGAAGTTATTGTTAGTAGTCAATCGTCGACCTTATCAAAAAATGTACGCTGACAGAAAAGTAGATAACGCGGCAATACGTTGAAATTCCAAGTTTTCTCCTCATGTCTGTGATGTCGTTGATAAGACTGTGCCTTTTGACAAGTTTTGAGCATCTTTTTACTATCAGACATAAAGTCTATACGTACCTGGCAGATTATGGTAAGATAAGCACCCCTGCAATGACTATAACTTTTCAAATGAAAATATTTTCACATTTTAATTCTTTATGTCTACAAAGACAGCGAATACTAAATGAGTTTAATGAAAAAACTTTAAAGCTCTCGCGCGGCCATTAAATGCTGCATAATCTCTGAAAACCCATGTTTAGAATGTAAACTGAGGTCTACGTGAAGAACAGAAATTCACTTGTTTTTTTGTTAAGCTATTACTGTTGAAAGTAAGATTTGTAGAAAAATCAATATTTTATCGTATCATGCAATGATATCGTTCACTCACAATAAAACAAGAATGCTATTGTTATACAAATATGACAAATAGGGCGTACCTGCTGAAAGGTGTCGTTTTCTGCATGGTGCTCGATTGAGTGTGTGTCATGATGTGATGCTCTCCTTCGGATACGGGGGTTGTAATCAGGAATGGTCGGTTGACCCATCAGATACCCTAAACGATGTGCATGTCCAGCATGACCATGTCCAGCATGACCATGTCCGTGTTGGTCGTGTTGACCGTGCGTGCCATGCCCGCCGATAAAGGGATTTTGTGTCGGTGGTGCCGACGTCGTTTTATTTCTCGGTTGGCGTCCGCCAGGAACCATTCCGTGGTCATGCCCGGCGTGATCATGCCCGTGGTCTTGGCCTGTTCCTTGTCCGCGACCTGTAGCTGTTCCTTGTCCGCGGCCTGCAGCGAATCCCTGGTCGACTGTAGGACTGCCGTGGTCATGATCATGGACCCCTCCACCATCTGATGGATGGTCGGTATGAACGTTGCCGAGATCGAGATCGCTAAGAAGACGCTGAAGTCCTGCGATAGGGTCAGTAATGGAAGTAGATAGTTATCGAATAGTTTGAAACAAATGGTGACTTTCGATGACCCTCTTCAAAATACAATGATAATAATGATAGTAATAAAAATAATAATAGTAATAGATATTGTTATAGCGCACATATCCACAACGTAAGATGCTCATGGTGCTCCAATGTGACTCCAGCCCTGCTAGGCTACAGTTTTCGGCGTTCACATCATTTAAGAATTCCTCCCTATTTGTACCCATTTAACACATGGGTAGAGAGTGGCAAATGCAGATTAATATGTTGCCAAAGAACTTTAGTGCCGCCCCGCTACTCAAACCGCGAACCATGTGATCCACATGCCGAAGACGTAGCCACTAAACAACGACACATTTCTATCTACATCGAAGTTGAATACTTGTCATCAGTCGACTGTGATTTAGAAGCTTACATCTTTAACGATTAAACTATTAACGGTTAAACTTGGCTGGGTGACATTTTTTTAAATGCAACATGATTCATGATTAAATGTATGGGATCAAGAAATCATGAATTCATTAATCAGGTATTAATATGGTCTGGTTTTCCACGAAACAGTAATATCGTGGTATGCTAGGAAACATTTTATGTCGAAAATGTGTAGATTGTACAGAAGTTAAGTCTAGTTAAAATGGCGGTGAAACGATGACTGATCATAACCTACAAGGGACGGAAGCACAAGTGAGAATACAATGACTGTTTGAAATACACTCCCATTTTTCAAAGGAGGCTTTGTAATCAGTTGTTTGGAAATAGGCGAGGTCCAGACAACCCCTTCTCTCCAGAGACATACTGACCAGAAGCGTGATGAGAGAGAGAGGGGGAGAGAGAGAGAGAGAGAGAGAGAAAGATAGAGAGAAAGAAAGAGAGAGAGGGGAATGAGAGAGAGAGGATGGAGGGAAAGAATGAGAAACAGAGGGAGAGAGAGAGGGAGAGAGAGAGAGAGAGAGGGAGAGAGGAGGGGAGAGAGAGACAGTGAGATGGAGGGAGGGAAGAGGGAGTGAGAGATTGAAGAGAGAGCGAGGGAGAGCGAGAGAGAGAGAGAGAGGGAGAGAGAGGGAGAGGGAGGGGGATATGTACCTCTGCTAAACAACAATCACATGCACACATGGTACTTCCTGGGTTTAATTTGATAAATCAAAATGTGTTTATAAGATATACTAAAATTATAAATGTATAAGTTTAAGTTCAAATTTGGACCATATTCCGATAGCAGCACTGAGGGTGTGAAGTTGGGTTTATAGTTTTACCCTTTCTTGTAAAATTTCGTTAAAAAGAAATAGAGAAAATTGACGAATGTTCCAAAGTAAAAGCAAACGCTCTTTAAAACTAAGTTTTTTGGTCAAATCTTATTTATTTATTGCACCATTTTGGAAGTAAATAAATCTCCTAAAGGTAATACAAAGTTTTGGGAAATTTTGAAAATTGGCTGGATAGTGATTCTTTACAATTTTGATATGTTTGGATGCCCCTGTGGATGTATTAAAAGCACCATAAAATTTGGACCCTAAAAATTGAATAACCAAAATTTAGCGGTGCTCCCGGTAAATTTTGATAAATTTCAAATGGCGCTTACGGCCATAAAATAGAAGCTGCGACCATGAAAATCTCAGAATATGTAGTTGTGATATATAATTTCCAAACGAAAATAGCCAATCGATCGATTTTAGTCGAGAAACATTGTTTTATGGCTTAATTTATATTTTGACCTTGAGAGGGAGCTATACAGCATAAAGAGTTTATTATTTACAATTTCAGAACTTTAGACTCAATTTCAACAGCTGAATATTGTAGGATCGGATATGCTTCCACTGTGTTCATGTGAACCAAATTCATGACCCCATTCCAAAACTTTGCATGACCTTTAAGAGGGGATCCACGTATTTACTTAATGCTCCACTTTGGAAGAAAGTAAATCTCTTTACGGAGAGAAAAACAAATCCGCGCGTTTGGAATCGTGAGTATTCTACAGATAACCAACACAGTTAGTATCAAGAATATGTTTTTAACAAATGTAAAATAACAAATATGGACGACCTTACCTGCCTCGCGTATGATATGGTTTCTACCAAACTCGTCGAATATAAAATCTGCAAAGTATGAAGGAGGGACAAGCAGCCCTTCCCCAATACAGTGTCCATGGAGCAGAGAACTGATCAGGTGAGCGGCAAGGATCTCCAGACCGGCTTGGGTGATGTCCCGATCATCTAGAATGTTGGCAGCTTCGATCAGCGTATGGGCTTCAAAACACTGGAGAGGTTCATGGATAGTAAGAATATGTTCAAATAGAAAATAAATCTGTCGGTATTTGAAAAAAAACTGAATTATGATGGATTTTGACACAGCTGGGAGGTAAGGGTGGAATTGGTTGCTAACATTTTAAAATCAATATTTGTTTCTGCTCATTTCTAACTCATTCTGTGATAACAACAAAAATGTAACAATAATCAGCGTAATTTAAAAATAACTAATGACAGATTTATTTCTGTCGCGATTTACATTTTTCCAATGTAAACTAATTCGCAGCTTCATGTACGGGGCTGACATGGGATTCCTCTTTTTTCTACTCATACGAAATAAAATCGTTTCATTTAATTTGAGACTTTGAAAACAAATCGTAATAATCAATGATAGGCTCAAATTCTGATTGAAAAAAAATATTCTTGGGGAATTTTAGAGTGATATAGGTTAACTTTTCAATGAGTATTTATTTTCTACATAATAGCATTCTGCACAGTAACTCCGAGAGCGAGTATACAAGAATTATCTGAAGGCGATAAATAAATAAATATCAGCAACTACTTCCGAGACAAAAATTTACCTAAATAAATTTCAAAAGCCTTCCGCAACACATTTTAAAATGTGCGAACATGACAATGGCGTATTATTACGTAATCCAAATATAATTTTTATCGGACATAACATGTAGGTATCAAAATTACTCTAGAGTTTTTTTGTAATCGTGTTTCTCTTAATTTTGTAAATGTACTTTTAAGGAATGGATCAAGACACTGGATTTAATTTATGCTAATTTGTCTTGAAACAGAGTGTAGTTTGCCAGGTAGGCACATATTTATATACCATAATAAATATGACTTGCAGTAGACAGAGTTCTAGTGGCACCATGAATCACTTTCGATAGTATACTGTGACGTAGAGTTTGGCAAATTGCCATTTCGGGAAAAACCTGTCGTGTTTGGTTTAATGTAATACATACAAGATTATAAAAGATTGGCAGATTGGCGACATTGGATCAAACTGAGTGCATAATTAATGAATAATCATAACAGGGATTATCAATCTTAATCCTTGTTCTGATTAATACTTTTTTAAAAATTTAATCCAAACGAACGGATTGTTGTCTACGTAAGATTAAAGCAATTGTTTTCAAACGACAGAATTAAAGTGATTAAAAGTAGATGACGTCATGAGGAAACACTGCTTCATGACACAATGCTACATGCTGGCGACATTATATATTATCATCCGTACACATCTTTAATCTCATTAAGTGGGTCCAGTAGGTGGTAATTTATGAGGTACCGCTAATCAATATGGGCAGTGTTAAATGAATCAGGAAACCCCACTCGAAATATGACTCAGGTAAACCTGACCCAGGTTCCGCCACAAACATGGCTTAAAGGTACAATTCAACTTTTTGAAATAAATTTGTTGGTGGTATATTGTGGATTGATAATTACTATGATGTTTTAAAGAACATGAAGTGTCGATCGATAAAGCCAAGAGTCATTTGCCCCATACGTCACCAAGTATTATGATATTATGAACATAATTTGACATCGAAAGTATATCATGGTGCATAATACTTGGTCTATGTCTAAGCTCCTTGGCTTGATCCAAGCTCTAGAGGAAAATTGCGAGATAACGAAAATTCTTAGACGGCTCCAGTATTAACGTAAGGGACATGTAGTTTGGACGTTTCCAAATATAACACATTTCGGTATATTACTTACCATGAACTTCTTCGTCTTCTCCGTGTGTTCGCAAACCCATATTGATTTTTTTTTTTTTAAACAGCATATCCTACCAACAAATCATGGACTAATCAGGACTATTCCTTAGTTATGCTTCCCATACAACGTCCCTATGGACCTTGTTTCCTAGTCAAAACAAGAGATCAAAATTGTAGTACATTTTATAGGTCAAAGTTCGTTGAATAAACTTCCATTCCTGTGGGGGACAGTCACTATACATTGCCCTTGATCTCAATCTTAAATATGAATTCGTCAAATTCTAATAACTTAGTTTCCACCTTCCCCCATTTCCTAAGGGCAAGGACAGTCATGAAGTAGGTCATTCGATGAGCGGACGACAGATTAGCTCAGATCAGATTTGTCATATAATTGTCCCGCCTATGGCCATTTGACCGGAGTTCCTAGTACATCAACTACAGCTGACTACGGTACAGTATTCGTATTGCACCGCTTTCGTGTCTTTTGTAATATGAAATTACAACTGAAATAACCTACAATAGATTAAGTTCGGAATGAATTTTGGTCTCTTTTCTTCTTCTTCAAGTTTGTGCATTTGTGCATGTTACGTATTTGTCGAGTGTGAGGACAGTGGTAAAGTAAAACGTTCGATGAGCAGACGACAGAGTAGCTCAGATTTGCTATTTATAAAATGCATTTAATTTTCCTTTGTTCAAGTTTGTACATTTGTTTCTTCTCAATCGTGGGTTAAGCGTAATGCAGAAGAGTGTACATACAATTGTTTACATTTCCCTGACTATTTCGCCAAAGGATTTTGTTCACGTACATTACGTATTCCTCATCACGTTAATTTGTTTGTTTGTTTGTTTGTTTGTTTCTTTTTTTTGGGGGGGGGACAGAAGGTCGACGTAAATTTATTTGTCCACATAGTTATTTGTTTATTTTCGATCCATTATTTAACAAAAGATTATTATTTTGAGAGTAAACCCTTGAACTGTCAAAGAAATATAACAGAATACCCCCCCCCCTCCCAAAAAGAAAAATACAAACAAAATACAAAATTACGAAAATACGAAAAACAAAACGTGGATCTATCGTTCCGCGGAAACAGTCAACAACACAATGCATCGATATCTTCCGAATCCGGTCAATTTAGAGCACGAAATTCAATACGGTAATTCTAAATTACTAGCTATTTATGGAAGAATAATCTCTACATATACAGTCGGGCCTCTTTAAGATTCATAACTATTCCGAAGTGATCGACTTCCTGTTATACCTTAACATTTCTAATTTCATTTCGAAACGATCTATTCTAAAACTTCTAAGTGCTCTTGCAGCAGACTTCCTGCTCCTCGAGGTTTTCTTTCTTTGTGCTTTCTATATTGTAAGCTTTCTAGGTTGACAATCACTTTTTCCGGAAAAGATCTTCCAACATATCGCAACAATTTCCGAAAAATTTGCTCTCAAGGGCAATTTCAGTGCCCTATTGTAATGTCCCATAGAAATCATGTTCAGATTACGTCTTTGACATGACATGACATTTCAATAGGTGACGCATAAGACTATTGAAATGGTATTGGGTTGATTTTTCGAAAGTAGTTCGCCTCTATGGGATTTCTAGAAGTGTTTGCAATGCTATGGCACATAATAAATATCTTTACATGATTTCAAATGTAAAGGTAGACAAGAGAAAAGCTCTCTTCATATAACGGTTTGTTAGAGTATAACTTTATATACATGAAATTATTTTATTCTATCAGGCAGTATAAGAGCTAGACTTTCGGTGCGAAGTTATTGCATATTTTCATAATGTTCAACAAAGTGACCCCCCCAAAAAAAAAATATTATACCGAATACAAGGAGACTTACTGGATTCCCCTATTATTCGGAATGAAAGTTGTACCAAAGTCTTGTTGATTGAAATCATATAACAAGTCAAATATCGATGTGTTATTGTTGCTGTTGCTGTTGTCGTTGTTGTTGTTGTTGCTGTTCATAACCCCATCCCCTTTTCCATAAAAATACCCCACTGATGTTGCACTCTATGTTGCTAAACTGACAATCTCTTTCTCATGATCACCTGTCGTTTTAACACGGGAGGACGCTCGGGTTTCCTATCGAGTTATTTTTATACTGAGAATCCGGAAGTTTGAAAAGTCATTCCACTCAACTCGTTACTCGCCCCCAAGTTTTGCCTCCTTCTAAACTGAGCCAAACACTCCATCCGATTTGAATGAGTTCGTGTAGTTAAATGTTGAGGCAATTGATTTTAACTAGCTTATTCATACATTGTACGAAGAGCTTGTCTTAATTTCTCCATCTAAACTGAGCCAAGACACTCTCCGATATAAATGGGTTCGTGTCGTTAAATGATGAGGCACTTGATTTTAACTCGACTTCCGTTCAGACAATATCCAAAGAATTTGTCTTTCTTCTCCATTTAAACTGAGCCAAAATACTCTATCCAGTGTGAATGGGTTCGTGTAGTTAAATGTTGAGGCAATTGATTTTAAATTACTCATTCAGACATTATACGAAGAGCTTGTCTTAATTTCTTCATCTGAACTGAGCCAAGACACTCTATGCGATGTGAATGGGTTCTTATACTTAAATGATGAGGCAATTGATGTTAACTCAATCATTCAGAAAATATCCGAAGAACTCCATTTAAACTGATAAAAGACACTGCATCGAGTGTGAATGGGTTCTTGAAGTTGAATTATGAGACAATTGATTTTAACTCGTCCATTCAGACAATTTCCGAAAAATTTCTCTCTAAAAATGAAGGAGGGTGGCATAGAGTGATGGCCATTTTTAGAATTCAGAAATACCTCGTATGACTAACAAGCACCTTTGTCGACATCATATATATTTTTAAACACAGCAAATATCACCAAAGGCGAAAGAAGACAGTACTGTATTTGTATCTATATTTCAAAAGATATATATCTGTATAAGACAATGTTACAGGAGCTGTAGTAGCAGTTGTCATATTAATGATAATTACAATTTATAAATCATGATAATGATGAAAATGATAATGCTGAAGACATTAACAATAACTACGGTAATGATAATAGTGTTAATATTGGATGAAAAAAATGAAAGTTATGATACGACTTAAACGCTGGGCTTATATTGTGTATCGTTTGCACTGAACTATCTAAAGAAATATTTATGATGCTATCAGCAACGTCTAAACTCTGTTGGGAGTCTTGAGACTACAAGTATATTTCTTTAACTACATCTCCGGCACATTGACAAATGGTAAATGATATCACAATAGATTCGGCATTCTTCCAGCTCTCCATTCTTCTATGGGGTACAGTTTGACAATGTAGATTGATATCTTGCCAAAAGAAAATGTCGCCTGGACGGCGTTTAAAAGCCGACGAACTGAGTCAGACTTCGGTTACATCGACTCGATCATCACAATTCTTGTCCTCTAAAGCTTCATTTTATCTCATGTGTAGGCATTTAAAGCATTAAATATATATAGGCCTGATATAGCCTCTTGCAGGCGCGTACGCAGGGGGGGGGGGGGTGGGGGTTGGGGTTAAACCCCCCCCCCCCTTGAGTTTTTTTTTGTGTGTATGTTTTTTTCTAAAACACCCCCCTTTTGAGGTTTAAAAATGAGGTTTACAAATGGACGACCTAAAAAGGATGACCTTACCCCCCTCCCCCCCCCCCCCAACGAAACGGAATGTCGATCGGTCAAATATTCGAAATTCGGGACAAAAAAAAAATTAAAATGTCCTCTTACCCCCCCCCCCCCCCCCCCCCCCCCCCCCTCCCGCTTATTCAGCGGCTGGCTGAGTCGTTGCGAAATTTTTGGGACCCCAAAAATATGTATATTGCGAAATTTTTGGGACCAAAACCAAATATGTATGTCCTATTAGCCCCCCCCCCCCCCGCTTATTCAGCGGCTGGCTAAATCGTTGCGAAATTTTTGGCCCGATTTCAAAATGTTAAACCCCCCCCCCCCTTGAAAAAATCCTGCGTACGCCACTGGCCTCTTGTCAATGGCCCTCACGTTGTTGGAGTCCGTAAATTCTGGCTCGCTTCGCTCGCCAGAATTTACGGACTCCAACAACGCGAGGGTCATCGACAAGAGAGTAGGCCTGATTATGATATCATCATCCATTTGTGAGTTTTTTCAGATTTGGATCCAGTGGCGAAGGGACAGTGGGCAGACCCTGAGTTTATCTAGTCGGGTGAAGAAACAAAATAAAGAGAAGAAAAAAGAGAGAAAGAGCAAGGGTAAAGAAGAAGGGGAATCAGACGAGAAGAAAAGACGTCTGGACCACCTCTCACTTCCCCCCATAATCAGTAGCCTTGTAAATTCGCTTTTCATTGTCCATGAAGACCGGTGCCACCCCACCCACCCCCCCCCCTCCTCCCCACCTCGATAATACATAGAAAATCCGGGAGAAAATCACATTGAAAATAAGGCGATAAGGAGATAGGGAGGGATGGGGTGGGGGTATTTAGAGCTTTATAAAAGGGAAACTATAAAATAATATAAAGAAGGAAATACAACTCACCTGAAAAGAAGACGTTGGTATGTATGTCTTATTGATGCTCTGCAGAAGCAACTCCAATTTATTCTCTGAGAACAGAGCACCTTTTCCAAATGCGAAACTGGAGCCAAGCTTAGGGACGGAGCCCGAGGAGTCGAGACCACTCAGTGCCAGAAGGTAGTCTCTGTAGGAGAAGGAATCATTGGTGCCAGTGGTAGAAGGACCTAGGGTACATGTGGCCTCTGGAGCGTGGATGTAGTAGAGAATGACCAGACTAGCTGGACCAAACGTTTCTTCGCTAAGGTAACCATCCCTGGCATCTATTCCCACTATTCGGAAGAGGGTTTCTGCAGGTATGCACTACAGATAATGCAGGGGAAAAGGAAAGTAGAAAACGGTAAGGAGTGATGACTTAACAGAGTTATAACACATATTATAGTATATAATTACGGCTGATACGATGATGCATCAAATCACTTTAAAGACAATAAATTTGTCTGATGAACAAAAATCTGTGTGGTGAATAATGAAAGCCAGTTCAACCATGTTTTGTACACACAAATCTATGTTTTCATCATTTGAAAAGGTTGTAAGCCAATTTCACCCAGGGCGACTAAGTGAAAAAAGTTTGTGGTTCAAGTTTTAAATACGAAGTTTTTACTAAACATGTACCAAACATTATCCGAATAAATTTGAGTGCATTAGATAAAATTCAGTTCACTAAGCTGGCCTAACTTTGGATTTGTTTGTCTGAAGCCCCGGACGAATGAAGGCTTTAGACATTCTGAAGTTACCGATTGCGGTGAAATATTCTAATGTACATGAACTACATACATGCAGACCTACGTATTACTTTTACACATATCTTTTAGTTCATAGCATTTTCTTTCGTACATTTTTTTAAAAGTCAAGATTAGTCTTGAGGTATATCGAGAAGAAAGAAATGTCATCGAATCCTTTACATAAAGGAAAAGTCGAAAACCTACTTGCATATTTGTCGTCAACTAGCTTTTTGATGTTAAAGGTACTATGTCCCTTTTGCAGCCAACATCAAATGCTGTAGAACTGTGCAGGAATTATGAATATGTCATGTATGTCCTATCTGTGAAATTTAAACGTTAGCAGTGTCCTAATATTCAAATTATGCAAGGAAACCTGTTTACCTGCTAGACTTCACTGTCAGACACTATTGAGTGACTGACTGGCTTTTTTCTTCTTTGGTAATAACATACAGAAAATGAGCTGTTAAGGGTACATGAGCATTATTTTCCCACTTGAAGACATTATCAAGCCCTACGTTTTTTAGGGAAGTTCTAAATTAGTATTATCTTTCAAATGCCGTTGGAATTGAACCTTTTCATTTTTTTGGCCTGCAAATGGGACATAGCACCTTTAACAAACATAGAACGCTTAACAAATAAAAGAGAATCGTTTGTGCGAACTTCACCTGGCTTGTTTTTTCTTACATTATTGGTATGTTCAGAGCTCTGAGATGACGAATACTCTTATTGTTGCTCAACGCATAATGTGCGGTATTCATCTAATCTCCGAGATTTAGGACAAGAAAGGATCGAACTTGGGATTTCTCTAGTGGAATGTTGCTGACTTGAAAATCGTCATAAACGTTCATTTGGGATGAATTCGTCACAGCAGCCAAGCGTCACAGTCTCTGATACAAAACAAACTAAAATGGATTACTAATATGAGTTGAATTGTTTATTGCGATTCCCTACAGGCTCTATCAAGTCTTATTCAGTCGTGAAGATTTTCAGTCAGGAGGCTTCACGTACAGCAGGATTTGTATAATAACTGCGAGCATACAAGTTGATCCCTCTGTGCGTATCTCTATAGACAGACTAATGGTGTATCGTTACAATGATGTCATTGAAATCTGGGAACATTGTTTCTCTCCTAATAATCTTTATGAGGCTAAAACACGAGCCTGATATCTTTATGTAATGCTGTTAATACAGTAAAGTCGCTTATTGTCGACGGGGGCCGTGTCTGACTCATTCCGATATATATTCAGGGATAACAAAACTCTTGGAACGAGGAGGTTTGTCATCTATTATGGAAGGAAAATAATTGTTATATACCTTAGCGTTTGCTGCGTGCATGAGAGGATGAAAAGCGCTCTAGACAAGAGCCCTTCCTTCTCCGCACGCACACATACGCACACCCACCGTAAATTTATACGCGGCTTTCGTTATGCACCTCTTACATACCTTTTAAAACATAAACCTACCTAGCATTATGGCGTCGTTTGACCTTTTCTGACCTTATCTAAACCAACGTTGGATGTGAGGTTCTATTTTCTCATTCCCTATCAAAAACAATTTTTATTTCCGCTGTAAATTGATGTCATAATAATGCTTGAGATTTGTTTAAACCCTCAAAAATAACTACTTTAAACAGCATATTTCCCCAAAAGATAAAAGAGGAAAAGGTGGAATATAATAAGATCTGATAAACTTTGATTCATGTTAATCGTTTGAAAGTAAGTTACTACACAGGTATTCAACGTTCAAAATGTTTATACATTAATTAATTAATTGAAAACATAATCATCTTCAAACTATAAAAATAAGTGGATTACAGTCACCATGTTTTTCTCTCTCGGCTTGATTCTCTAGAAACAAGGTAAATTTCGTAACGGTAATATCATTCCCCTGCCGAGATGGGGAAACAGAAATGGTTGTAAAGGCTTTTTAATTACCTGATGATTTAAAATCTTTTTAAAAACAACTACTGAGCAATGTTTCTAAACGTGGTTGTAAAAGATGTCTTTGAAATCAAGTGTGAGAGCATTTAAAAAAGTAAGGAGTGGCATTTCCTTCTATCATAAACATGACTTCTGTGCTACGAACATCACAGTACATGCCTTAATCATACATTTTTGCAGCGTTTCTGTTAAAAATAACCCGTGAATAGTGCCAAAGAAATAAGTAAATTCGGAAGGTGTGAAAAGCTCTCATAATGTCTCCAGCCAGACATTAAAACAGGTACTTGGAGCTGCCTAAAAGGGGGTAACTGTATATTACAATTCATGGTTTTGCGATTGTCTTTAAAGATAATCGTAGGCCTTTATACATGATAAGAACCTGTTTAAGCATGCTTCTCGTACAGTCATTGTCTTGGGGGCCATGACGAATATCCCGTTTTATTTTGTCCATGTATATATAATCCCAGCGAAATTTCAGACTACCCTTAGCGGCGAGATTATATTTAGAATCCAGTGACTTGATAAGAGAAAGTGATAAAAGTTCACCAGAAGGCCCTGTATATTAAATGCCAAACATCCAGGGCAGGCTTGCAACTACAATGAAGACTAACCTGCAGTTTGGTGGCTTTTACTTGAATTCTTGTTCGCCAAATTCGAGAGTACGTTTGTATTCACCCGTGATACTAATTGTACATCCATTAACATTACCCGTTTTCCTTTTGGTTTTTAATACGCATTGTTTAAATGGTGGTGATGATGATGATGACGATGATGAAAATGATAATGATGATGATGATGATAATGATGACAATAATTATAATGATGATAATAGTAATAAAAATAATAATAATAATAATAATAATGACAATAATAACAATAATGATAATAATAATGATAACAATAATAATAATAATGATAACAATATAATAAAATTTAGCTGATTTTCTTAAACTTATGTACATGCATAGCCTATATAATAAGCTTTCATCGAAATGTACGACTTGGCAAATCAATATTTGGGGGATAAAGAGATCCGCGGTATTTGGTCAAAGGTTAATCTCACATCATTATTATTTTTTCACAACCAGTATTCTATTATAATTATATCTAACAATATGCTGTGGTCTAGTGGTCTGCTCTGATGGATCATATACCGGATTAAGATTAACTGGTCAAGGTCTGAATTCTAACCATTGCTCTGCTGTGCTTTGGATGAGTGGATAATCTGCAAAATCCCTCTATATCCATGGGAAAATGCTATATTTTGAATGGATATACCAGTGCTCTGAATGTACTCAGCACAAAGCGCATGGAGGTTAGGAGACCTCATTCACAGAGTGCATGTCAATAGTGCAATATTTAATATTCATGAGCGCATCTTGAATGCATATGTGACTATTATCTTTTCAAATATTATATGATATATAGTAACTTTATCACTTTAAATGGTGTTACAATAATTCTGAATATACAGTAGGCTGAGTGAGTGAGAGAGGGAGAGGGTTGAGGAGTCCTGAAAAGGACTCTGACTCGGTAATCTTTCTTGGGGGGGGGGGGGTGTAGTCCTGAAAAGGACTGTTTGTTATCTTTCTTAGCTTATAGTTCTACGGAGAACTATAGCGCTTACATCACCATGCAAGCCGACACTTACAAGCAGCATCTAATAATTCTGAAGTATACTCATAATTTTGTTTACTTGGTTAGACATCGCAGTCATGTTGATAGACAATGGCATTCTAATGTAACTCTACTGATAAAGGGAAGTGATCATTTTAATGATCAAGGTCAATTTTATTTCACCCTGATTGTCTACATGCAGTCCGATTGGCCTGACAAAGAGAGTAACTCATACAAACCACTAATTACAAATAATCCCATTTCTCCGCCAAAACTACGAAAAAAAACTTTGCTTTCACTCATGATGATGAGCAATGACGTTAATCACCGTTAGCTAAATCTTTCCACGCGAGCTTTGGTGGTTGTTCTTAACCCCTTCGGTCTTAAGCTCTCATCATGGCATAGGCGATACGTAGCCGTACAGAATCGTGAATAAGAGGACCTTACACGGCCCGACGCGCGCTTTTAGCTCGTTAAAATTAGCCGATGATCGATAACTTCCGAACAAAATAATGATGGATGGACATTCTGTTTGGAACGTGATAATTTCATGAGGAGTTATTGTGATTAGGAAAACAACCAGGAATAAACGTATTAATGTACAGATAAATATTATGTAATAGAAGAAACTGTAAATACCTACACAGAGCAACTTTCAATAAACTACTATGTTTAGTAATAATGTCATTGTAATTCAGTGAATTCCGTGAATTTCAAAAAATTCAAAATTACCTTGGACACTAGAAGAAACCCAATTTTATTACGGCATATTGAAGATATTTTGATACAGAACCTGAATGTTTCAATGTTCCAAAATCGTTATTTCCCAGTTCATTCGTTCAAACTTTATCTTTTCAGCAGTGCTTAAGAGACACAATCTCCCAGCCTCGCAATATTAATAACTCGGCCTTGGTCCCGAGACCTAAGGATAAATGAATATAAAAAAAGTGATTAAGTAAAATACTAGCTAAAAACAGTAAATTAACGATATTTTTCGATACTGTTTCTATTTTGGTCCTTG